GGATGTGTTCCTTCCAGAAACAGAAGATTGCCATGCACCGATATCCATCTCATCACTTTCGGTTATCAGGACTCAAAGTAACTTGAGTCAGTGACTCGTACTCATACTCAACTAACCGCCTCAACTGAAAGACTTACATAACCCATGACTTTACTCGCGACTAGGGGTTTAGCAGCTTGTGCCCAACACAACACACACCATTGAGAGCCAGGGATGTGTTCCTTCCAGAAACAGAAGATTGTCATGCACCGATGTCCGTCTCATCACTTTCAGGGTGAGATTGCAAGAAAAATTTAAAAAATGGGCCACTTTATATGGTTTTCCTTTAACCTTTCCAGTCTTATGGTATAAATATGGAATTCCTATCTCAAGAACTAAGATTTGAAAGATTGAATTAACTTGAACAACCCAAGTTCCAGATTAGAAACCAAGTATCAAAAATTAACAGAAAATTTTAAATAAATAAAAATGGTCCTGAAAATAGTGTTTATGTTTTGAATACCTAGACATTCAATTAGACTGTACTATTCAATAGTTATTACTTTGTGAACAAAGTAAATTATTACCTAATATGAAATGTATTATTCACCAAAATAACTCAAGTAGAAATACGCACAGTTACATAATCTGGCATATGGTAACACTGAATATTTGTATATATGTTTAGTGCAATATTTCCTACATTTTCTGTAACCTTGTTACCTTGTATTAGTTTACTTGAACACCATGCTTACCATTTTCCTAGTTGCATCACAATTGAATAGGCCTTGGGAAGCTTCGTTCCTCATAAATATAGTAGCTATTTACGTATCAGTAGATGCTCCTTTACAGCCTTATTCAGAGAGAGATTTTCTCTTTTCTCTCTCTGACTTGGACATGGCAATCCTACCTAGGAACCTAGAGTTTACTTGGACGATAACTTAATTTAAAATTAGTGACCAAGTATAAAGAAAACCTGAAAATAGTGTGCCCTTTCTAGATAAGTAGATATTCCATCTATACAATCGAGATAGACAGCACTATTCAATTATTATTATCAGACCAAAATAGGTTCTAGAAATATAAAGGTAAAAAACACAGGTTAATGTGATTTACCAAATGGGAACACTGCTTTTTAAAACATAAATACAATCTTCACTAAGACTTTATCTGAGTATTGTTATTTACTAAATTATTTCTCATCTTATAATAACCAAACTTTCTCAAACATGTTGGATTGGTATCAAAACTGCAAGATAATAAATACCAGTAACTCAGAAAGTGCAAAACTTTCGGTACTCCCAAGGTATGTGAACTAAGATAGCGGACACCGGATTGTAGTATGTGTACCAGGTTGGGGTTAGGCTAGCGGTTCCCAAACTTTTTGTTCGTGCACCACCAAATTATCAGGGAAAAATACTTGCGACGCACTTACACAAAAAATATCCTAAATTTCAATATCGTGATCGTTAAGGTGTACTTAATGCCCTTTAGGCATAAGGAATATAGGCAAAAGGCCAACTTTGCTTTCTCATCTCTGCATGTTCGATAAACTCGGTTCAGCGTCTCACCAAATTCCAGCAAGTGGTGTCTATATCTATTGTTACGTAACAATAGAGGCAGACAGACACTATGTAACAGAAAGTAAACGACATGGCAAGCTAAATGGAATTTGTTGATTCATATACACATCATTTGAAATAGGAAACAATAAACCTTTATAATAAAGACAATATGTAAAATTTCAAATCATATTTTAGTTATGTTTAACACAATTCTTTTAATTTTCGCAGTGCCCATGAGAACACGCTGTGCCGTGCTAGTGCACACCTTTTGGGAACCGCTGGGTTAGGCCATAATTTCATTCCAATTTTCCTTATTTTACACATACTACGTACTGGTGTCCGCTATCTTGATTCAAATACTTTGGCAGTACCAAATTTTCATATATGTACATAAAAACTGAAACAGTTGACAATATGGCCTAATCATATGACCAGTTATAAAATCTCTGTGCAATAACCCTCTCATGTCCCGTCCTATGACCAGAGTTGCAAGTCAAGTTAGGAACCATACAAGGTATGGGTTACTTTTTAGTCCCATCAAAATTCAAATTTAAGTCCCGAGCCAAGTCAATGCTCTTTTGAGTCACAAGCCGAGCCAGAGGCTCAGTGGAAATACATATATACATATACGTTATTCTGAAAGTGCAATTAAGATGCAACAACAGCATTGACAAAATATTCCTCGGCATCAATACAGACCTATTTTGAGATGTTACTGAAACAAGTGTCTCAATTTCCAATTTTTTCCTAATACATCATCAATGATATGGTACACTATACCAAAATGCTTATGTAGGAAATGATAGACATAAAGACATATATTTTAAATGAAAATTGGCCCAAAAGTAAAGTCATGCTATTTCACTCAGAAACTCTAAGGAGACTAACCGTTCTGTGAGCATAGTTACTGGTGACCACTGAAGTGCTAAGAACTACTGAAACTACAAAGTATTTATTTATAATAATCTATCAGGAGAAAAATGTACATATGTACAGAATAGCAGCTTTGATAACTTTTATCCAAGAAGACTATTCTGACTAGTCATACCCCATTGATTCCCAAGCTAGAAAATTTTGCGGAAATAGAGTTGGAACTAAAGCAGACCTGAATCTTATTTTACCAATGTCAAAATATGATAAGTTTAGTTTTCTAAAATCTTCTCTTGCAATAGTTTTTATTTTGAGATTCAGAATAGACCTAACTAAATCCTATCTTAAATTAACACCAATTAAAAAACAATAAAAATTTTTGAATTCAGCTGAATTATTACAAAATTAGAAAATTACAATGTCAACTCTTAGCTTACAAAATTAAAAACACGCCATTGATTACTCTGTGCAAGGTTTACAGGTTCAATATACTGGATGGATACTCATGGTAAGATTGCCTTACTCTCTATCCAACCTGACTGGCTCGCTTGACTGATGACCAATTTTAGTTCGCTGCTACGTATGTCAGTATGTCACAGTTCTTCGATTCCAAGAATAGCTCCTACTCTGAAGAACATTAGTTATAACAATGAATGCAAACCCCTCCTTTAAGAGACAGTTTGGGTTTCCCTATCAGCAATCAAAGGAAGTGCAATCTAATATCGTCACCATTGGTTTCCTCGAAGAAAAAATAAAGATTTACCAAAAGAAAAATTTTTAATGAGGCTTTCGGGAGTTTCAAGCAAAAATTGCAATTTTGGTTAGGTATGTGATGGCCATGATTAATTAATAAGCATGGTGTGATTTGACACATCTGTTTTCGTGCCAGACTCCCTCATTTTGGAGACAAATAATGTTTTATTGAACCAAATGTGAGGACATCTTGGAAACGAAGAACTGTGTCATACTGTATGTTTGTCCCAGACTGGATTCCATGGCAGGTGCACGCCCGAGGGCGCTAGCGCTCCGCAAAAATGCACGCGAGCGAAATCAATTTTGCACGCCGAAAATTTGCAATTGCTCACCAATGTAAATCGGTTTAAATGGGTTTAAAATCAATAATCCAGTAATATAAAGATGCCAAAATATTATAACTCCACAATTGTCGACAAATACCAGCCTGCAAGATTTGGTCTGATCGAAATATTGCGAAGCAAAAAGACCATGGACCTTTCCCCAACCTTTGACCCGCGAAAAATTCCTCTCATTGTTACGTCCTTTTTTGCATCTTGCTGATTGGCCAATGTCACGAAGTAAACAAGGAAGTCGATGCTCGGGGAAAGGTCCATATCGTGTTGAATGATAGGAAATAGGAATCCCGTGAGAATAGTTATGGACGAAAAGATCGCCTCCGCACCAATGGTCAAGTACGGCTCTGATTCAGCGTATTCTTCATACAATAATTTTACACGAATGTACTGAACAGTACCGGTATCTAAAGTTGCTCAAACACTCCCAAAATTAGTGACAAAGTATGAAAATAATGTTTGGGGTCAAAGGTCAAACGTCCATTTTGCTCTAATTTGACGTATTTTTTATCCATTAATTCTACGTAAAAACACTACCAAAATTAATGACAAAGTATGTCCATTTTGCTCTGGTTCAACGTATTTTTTATCCAATAATTTTACGCGGATGTACTGAACAGTACCGGTATCCAAAGTCGCACAAACACTCTCAAAATTAGCGACAAACTGTAGAAATAATGTTTGGGGTCAAAGGTCAAACGTCCATTTTTTCTCTGATTCAACGTATTTTTTATCCGATACCGGTAATTTTACGCGGATGTATTGAGAGGTATTTGATGTCAAAGTCAGTTGCACGCGAGTGCAGTTGTTTTGCACGTCGTGAGCTATAATTGCACGCCAGGAATTCTTATTTGCACGCGGGAATTTCTGATTGCACGCCCGATTTCTCGTTCAAAAAGGCCATGAAATCCAGACTGGTGTTTGTCTACTCATTTGCAGAGTAATCTGAATTGGAAGCAACACCTTATCAAACAGAACTTGCCATTTGACTGAGCTGTCTTATTGACATAACCTAGTGTTGAACACGGAATGCAAGCTTGTCTTGTTGTTTCCATAATGACTTAATTCAATCGTACTGTGTGATGGCAGTCACACGACCAGGGTTGTTTTTTTTGCTAAAAATTCTCGAATGCTTGGTAATTTTTCTTTCTGGAAATCGAATATTTTTTTTCAAGGAATCCAATGATGACGTTTTTAAATTGCGCCTTCTTTCAAGATTATTTGGCAGTGCCACTTTGCCAATTCGTGCCGATATGGACTGTCTCGTAAAAGATGGGTTTGCTCTCACTGTTATAATTTTATGTCTCTTAATGTGGGGACTATTCTTGAAATCTGAGATGATGATTGCCGCAAACATTTGGAAATACAGTAATTATTTGTTAACTTTGAATAAGCAAACAAAAATGGAGTAAAATAGTAGAAGTGGTCAGCAGGCAGGCAAGACTGTACTGCAGTACTGGTACCGGTAGCCTAACAAATTGATATAAAAACAACTTACTCATTAAATTCGGCAAAACAATCTTTAAAATATGTATTTTCGTGAGAATCACTCATGATTTTCTTCGATAGCAGACTTGCGAAATTGACTAGACAAAATAGTTCATATATCTCAAAACCGTATTGTTTGTAAGCAGAGCAATTCTCAGCTTTTAGCAGTCGCCATGGTTGTGGCTGGAGGTACTTTCCCAAATCCGAATACAGCCTTCGAGGAATAACCTTTTGAACGATCAGGCTCTTGGTAACGAACAATCCTTACGAAACAGATGTAAACAAAAACAAAAAAGGGAAATCCCCGTTAGCACGTGACAATGATCCGATAAACAATGCTAATTTAAGAGAATCGGATTACTGAAGTCGACAACCGGTTTCCATTTGAAAAATGAAGTAGGAACCATCGACAAGAACATTAAATTTTAGTCAAATCAAAACAAATTAATGCTGAATACGTAACATTCACCGTTATATACTGCACTGTTAACCACACTGTGACTCATGTTTTATCGCCATTTAAAAATCAGGTGACGAGAATGAATATTATATCCATTATATTATTATCCAATGATTAGAATACTCGACTCGATCCGTTTTTTTTTTAATTAGACATTTGCCGTAAAAATAATGCCAGCAAATGTGAATATTAGAATTTTCAATCGCGTCAGTATCACGCCTCGCTCATATTTACGACCCTAGTATAACACCGCGGCAGAGTTTTGTTTAGTGCATAAAAATGATCGATTTAAGAGTAAACAAGCTAGATAGAAAAAAAAAGAAATGCAACCGCAAATTATAATATATCAAGTGAATAAATAATTGCCAAATAATTATCAACCCCCAGCAGTAGCATATATACAGAGACGCTGGGTGGCAACAGTAAGCAAGGAAAACCTCGTTCTTTCGGTGGTCTTAGGATAGGATAGGGTTTACATTTTTATCCCGGGGGAGAGGAAAGCCGATAGGACGGCTTATTCATATGGCCTCTCGTCCGGTTACCATTCCAAGTCGGGTATGGGATTAGTTTTACTGTATTGTTTGTTTTCGGAAGCATGGACTTGGTGGTGGAGGAAGCCGTAACCGACCAGCGGTTACGTGAACCACCCAACGACGGCGAGGAGTCCAGCAATCCTCTCGCACATAACCATCTCTGCATGGGATTCGAACCTGCGAACCCACGCAGTGTAATTAGAGGTGCGGTGGCGAGCGTATTCCTAACGCTTAGCCCGTTGAGCCACACCGCCGCGCGGGAGTCTTGTGATTCCCCAATACAATGTCTGGTGATTTTCTCTAGTGAGAGATGTTGGTTTGATATTTTGTCAGAAGATTATATTAATTAACTACAATCACAGCAATATTACAAATAAAATGTCAATATTTTAATTACCGGTAGATACAACCTTGGGTGTCGCTGCTTGATAACCAGCTTTGGTTCCCCGTGGTTTTCCTTTTCCAGTAAAACTGTGTGGTGGCTTAAGCTCATTCCACAAAATGTGAAGGTTTCGCGAATATTAACTTTAAGACATGGAGTTTTTTAAATTGCCTACTCTATGAGGCGTTCCCTAATCTCCTCCCAGTCTCATCTTCAGTATAGTATGATTACACGAGAATACTCAGTGATCAAAGAAGAAGGCTTCACAAAATAAACATTTAAAAATATCGTTACTGGGTCCAATATTTGGTCGTTAATATTAGTGTGCACCTCACATTTCGAATTGAAAAATTACTGATTTAGCTCCTTGTGTATCACCGCTAGTGGGCAGTGGTTAAATGATTTTTATTACTGGTCAACCCTTTTTGATAATAAGGTGACGCTGGGATTGTACATAGTAAATTGGCTCAGCTACTTTCTGTCTTTAATTGCATAACTGTTAGTGCCATAGATATCAGTTGTCAGTCAGTGCAACCCAATCCCATAAAGCTGCCTTATTGAATAAAACTGCGTAAGTTGACCTCCGTAACCAAGCAACGATGAGACATGGGTATCGGAAGAAAATAAATCGTCTTGACTACTTCGACATGACTTGCACGTCGTAAACAAAAATCACTTGTGTTTCTTGTACGCCTGCAAAGCCATTGTATAAAATTGAAGTTCTTTAGGTATTCCCAAATGTTGTTCAAGTTTTGCCACTGGTCATCTTACATTGTTAATCTTAATCACGTCAGCGTATAGGGTGGAAGCTGACCTCGCTGACCGTATGGTCGTATCGCCCCCTCCTGTCGATACCAAAACAAATTTTATTGCTGTTGCTATTTTATTGATGACTGTACTTTTGGTTGACGAAATATTAAAACTCTCTCCCCATCATGTTGTGGTTCAATCAGCTTCTCTTTTAAAACTGTTCCAGCCTGTAGAGTAGTGTCTGGGCGTTCGCATTAAAAGTTGAAAGGATGGTAAACCCGTAGTATGTGTACCTGGTTAAAGTTAGGACATAGTTTCAGGTATGATTACTACGGGAGTCATTTGGCTAGTCCGTAACTCGTAATAGAACTAAAATAAGGAAATGGAATAAAATCGGAATAAATGTATGGCCTAACCCTAACCTAGTACACATATATACTATGTTCCGGTATCCGCCAACTTGGTCACATACTACGGGAGCGCCGAAAGAATTAGTAGGGATGGACTTCACCAATTCACTTTCTTTTTCCAGCTCCATAAGATGTATAGCGACTCATTTCGAGAACCCTGTAGTGTCAAATAGGATATTTTTACACCTAAATTACGCTGCAGTATTAAACAGTAATTGTTTGGCAAGACAACCTGCGCCCTGTAAATTTTATTTCTAGTAGAGACGATTGTATGTGTCTTTGACCCTTGTAACTACGTTTCTCGTGGAAATCACCCAGCTTTTTGTAGGCAAAATGAGTCATGTGAACTCCGAAAGAAGAATTTGTAGTTAATGTAGTTGTGTTCAAAGCTTTTCCAGTACTCCCGTAGTATGTGAACCAAGATGGCGGACAGCGGAACGTAGTATGTGTACCAGGTTATGGTTAGGCCATAATTTCAGGTACAAATACTACGGAAGTCAGGTGGCTAGTCTTCGAACTTGTAATAGAACTAAAATATAGGAAAAAAATTATGGCCTAACGCTAACCTGGTACACATAGTACGTTTCGGTGTCCGCCATCACATACTACAGGAGTACTGCATCTTCTGGGGTGAAATGTGGAGTTCCTAAACTCAGGTCTCCAAATTATTAACATCAGCAAACAAGTAGATTTGAAATATCGAAAGAAATATATTTATACTTCTTATGATGTACCATTTGAGAAGTCGAAATATGTCTCTTGGGTTACATGTACCCCAGTTTGGGAATATACATTAGTGACCTTAAGACCCTTAAATTTCAACTATCGCATTTTAATTATACCGCTAGTTGTCGCAAGCAATTCGCAGGAAATGAATATTATAAAAATATCGGCTTGAATAATTACTATTCAAAAATGTTCAATTATGGCGAAATTTTCAATGCCCGGGGATACAAGATTTTCCTTCTTGGACACACTTTAAATAGCTTTAAATATTTATATTTTAAAGATCATCAACGAAACGTAGGTTTAGGAAAATTAGTATATCAATATAATGCGTCACTCGTTTTATTTTCGAAAATAAAATAGACAAAGTAAAAGAGGTAATGTGAAATTAGACATGTTCTCATTATAATCCGAGATACATGAAATACGCTTGCAATAATTACGACTGGGAAGGCAAATATTGCCTGAGATGTGTGGTGATTTGCGTCTTAAAATCTAGCAACGCATTAAACCAGTGGTTCTCAAACGGTGGGGCGCGCTTCACAAGTTGGGGTAGACAATTTTTTGAGGGAGCGTGAAGCTTATTAAAAATAAAAAAATATTTGTTAGATTTAATCTTGCCCGTCTTATTTTGGATATTTACGTTTCATCCGCATATTTTCAACGTGTTTATTGAATGAAACATACTTTCGCCTTACTATCTGGTATTTGTAGCTTATTGTTAGCTAGACTTGACAAATTCGGCTCAAAAAGTTCAAACAGTCACGACGTTATACCATGCTGACATATATTGTTCGTCCTTTAATAGCATGGTGTTTTGATTCGAAAGTCACTCTTTAGTTTATACTGCTTTAAGACTCTTAGTTGACGATTGAGTTGATAAAAATCTAGTGTACAAGCTTGTTTATTTCTGTGTTAGATTCATCACAACATGCAACAACAACAACATACACACAAGTATACGGATGGCCCGAAAGCCGAATATAGGTCACTTGGGAGATATTCTAATCCAGCGTTTCACGAACTTATTTTGCCCAGAAACATCTACGCTTTTTACCACGCCGTCCGTCTAAGTGAGGTCCGTCCGCTCGTTTAGATATCAAGGCCTGTCCGCTGCTGGTCGCCAGGTCGGAGACAAATTTACGACCCGGAGGCGCCGAAGTTACGGCGAGATTACCATTGCAACCAATTTAGTGGTAATTTCGAACCCTGTCGCTCGGAAAACCCCAAACAAGAACGCGGAACAGCCGTCTAAAGAAAACACGCATTACTAATCTCATTGACACTAATGTTAGATTATAAAGTTAAACATGTGTGTTCTCAAAACTCTGTGATAAAAATACTGCTTTTAACGCGTTTATTTCAGTTATTTTATGCGTGTGTAATATTGATAAGAAAATCAACAAAAGGTAAGAAAGAAGAAATGCATCTTAGTCAAAGAATCAAAGAAGAATACAATCAATTTACTAAAACTTAACGCAGTCAATGCAAATGGTACCAAGTGAAGACTTTTGTCCGTGGCGTCAGGAAAGGCGATGGCCTTTCGAAAAAATGTCGAGCAAAAAACAATCACATACAATTTTCAAAAAACAGGTAATCGTACAATTTAACTGGGGAAGGGAAGCCGCGGCGGGGATCCAAATCTGGTTATCAAGCGCGACACCCAAGGTTTCAATATCTAGTTAAAAAGATCGGGTAATTTAATTAAAGAAATACTGTACGAGACCCAAGTCGTATATGTGGCCCGTATATGCGTTTATTAAGTAGGGTGCTTTAAATAGGTTGGTTTGAACCAGAAAGATCCTGAATTCAATATCACTTTCCCACATTACTTTTATTGATTGTACAGAGCCTTGTTAGGGGCGAAAATATTAAACTAGTCATCCTCCAGAAAGTGAAAACGCTCAAAGAAGGAAGATTTACCCTATGTCGATGAACGGTTTAATAATAGCAGCACACACTTGTGAAACGAGTATTGCCACAGGCGAGGGAATGTTATTAAAATCACAGTAATTTGTACAGCGGAAAACCCCTTTCCGTACTTTTTCACTTCACTCTACTTTTTAAACGACTTTATTCAGTTTGAAGACTTTGTTTAGATACGTCTATAAAAGGGTTTTTGTACCAGGGGCCAAACATTTTGCCCACCTAGTTTGGCGGGCCATGTAAGTGAGACGTAAAAAATTACAGTTTATGAACAATATTTAGTGTTACAAAAGCAAAACTGAAAACAATAAGCCTTGTGCCAACACTAAATTTAATCGCAATCTCAATGGATTTCTCGATCTATTTTTAGCTAAAACACTAAAATTTGGTTTTAGTATGGTTGTGGCAGCATCGACGGGTTGAATCACCTCACGGGCCGGATTCGGTCCCCGGGCCGTACTTTGCCCATGTCTGGAATATAATATTACATGCCGTATCACTTGGAGGAATATTAAATTCCGACCAAGCTCTAGAAAAACATACTGTCCTTTAAATTTCAGATTGGGTCATGGTGTTATTAAGTCGCTATAACTTTTAGTTTCAGAATTCTTTATCACGTGTCCACAATATATCGCCTGAGGGCGTCTTCGCATTAATTCAAATCAATACTAAATACGTTCATGCTTGAATCATATGTGTTTATACAGAAATTTATTGCGCTTTTAAACAATTGAAGTCTTTCGCGCCAGAGAATTAAAAACAAACATTTCAAAATGCATGTAGTATTCTCGTGATGGGGAATATGCGAGTGTTGCTGAAACATTAAAAAATAGCATTTATCACGACACCTTATTCAGCGCTCTAGAAGTGTGTGTACCAATATGGAAGTAACTAATGATGTTTGCCTACTTTACATCAAATTGTGTAAAGGGACTGAAAACTATGGACAGGGGGTATATTCACTCAACTAACACAGACAGTCCCCGAACTCGTAATAGAACTAAAATAAGGCAAATCGCAATAACATTATGCCCTAACCCTAACCTGGTACACATACTACGGAATTATCCCCTATTCTGTGTATCGCGACATCCTATTCTGTGGACTCGTTTATATAGGCATTTGGTCTTGTACATGAGCTTCGCTGTAGTTGGAGTGAGAGAGTGAACTGCGCTTGTTCATCTCATATAGACCTTGCTTTATCTGTTACAAGCAAAATTGGATTTTAGTAAACGAAGAATTGTATACTGATCATATTCGGCTTGAGAAAAACGAGGTTGTATCATCCCCGAAGAAGGATTGGTTGTAATAATCTTCATAGGATAGATATACCTGTAGATACGAAAGCTTAGCTAGCCTGCTGTTGAAGGTAGCTTTAGTATCAATTTCCTTTTTTTTTTATTTGATTGACAAAACAACAATACCTGTCGGTTTGGAAGTTTAATTAGTCATTTGTGATATTGAAAAATTGGCTTTTTATTGTCGTAGTCGCGAGAGCCTAGAATTCAAGCGTTAGAGTTATATTTATTAGCATTGCAGGTTAAACTACCGGTTCAAATTCCCCGGCCATCATGTTTCCCAGGTGAATAAAATTAAGCAAGCAATACCGAAACGCTAAGATTCCTATTCCGAATATTGGTGAGTAGCTATTCACTCTTCGGAGCGAAAAGGGTCGTATTAAAAAATGCTTCTGTTGTGGTCACGAGGGACTAGCGTTTAAGACGTAAGACCAATCTTTATTCCCATGCCTACCATGCAGTGGCGTAGAACAAAGAAGCAGCTGCCCCGGGCAGCACGTTACAGGGGTGAGTTTGTTTCATTGTTTGATGATTTAAATAATATTATAACAAACATTTAATCTTACCTGACCTTTAATTTATTTATTCTCATGTGTACCAAAATATATAATTCATTAATCCCCCAAATTATTTATGAGGTTAGGTATAAGGGGCAGCATTATCAGATAATCGCCCCGGGCAGCTGAAAAGTTTAACACTCCGCTGCAACCATGTTACCCAGGGTACAAATTTATTGGGTGGGTTACTGGTCACTGTTCGAAACGTTGTTTGAGAAATATTAAATTTATCTTACGAAAGCCTGACCACATTTAGCAAAGGTAACAAATTGACAGTAGTTGTCTCGAAAACCTGATCGTATTTGACCAAAACGAAAGTTTTTCTGAGTCACATTTGTATATTATGCGATGAAAATTAATATATTCAAATTTCATTCGTTCATATTTTCAAACGTTAGGCAATCGTAATAAAATCGCGAGTGAAAAACCTTCAGGCAAATATTCCGATATCACAAATGACTAATTAAACTTCCAGACCGACAGGTATTGTTGTTTTGCCGATCAAATCTAAAATGAAAAGTTTTTGATTGGGATATTAGACTGGAGTTATTAAGAGAAGACTAGTCGTTGTTAGGGATTAACAGTGAAATGATTTTAAATTAAATGTGTCGATTGAGAATTTGAATTTTGGATATGTTTTAGTTTTGTTAGGTCTACGAAGGGTTGCGCGAAAAACATACTTTTACCAAAGGTAGCCGGAGGTTATTTGAAGTGAAATGAGCAAATAATAACTTTTAATAAGTTCGTAGTAGGTTTCAAAAAGTTTTAGTGAGTTATATTGGGTTATTATCAATAACATTTGATTTCACAAATGACTAATAAAACTAATAATGTTGTTTCGCTGAATAAATCAAAAAAAGAAAAGTGATGATAAATCTACTATTAATGGAAGGTTGGCTAAACATCTAAATCTACATGTATTTTTGCTTTGTCGATTCAAGTCTAAAATTAAAGAGTCCGTTATAATGGAGTTATGAATATTGGATGTGGCATTAGATTTTATGTTAGATTCTAAAATAATAAAATTACGTTGCTTCCGAAGTATGTGCACCAACGTGGCGCACAACCTGAACATAGTATGTGTACCAAGTTAGCGTTGTCAGGTTGTGCGCCATCTTGGTGCACATACTTCTGGAGCACCAAATTTACTAACAGAATTGAGCAAGTGACCATGGACTTGAATTAGTGTTGGTTTAAAGATAAATCTATATTGCAGAAGTCGATAGAAGGCGATGCCGTCCGAGTATATAATGAAATGAGGTCGCTCCATACGTGTGTGTAAGTTGTGTGAGGGGAATTAAACTTATGGGCAGGGGTTATACTCACTTGGCTAACACAGACAGTTCCCGAACTCGTAATAGAACTAAAAAAAAGGAAAATAGGAATAAAATTACGGCCTAACCTTAACCTGGTACAACATACCGAAATGAGCATCGTGCCTAATGCAAGTTTCATCAAAATTTTGATTTCTCATTCTGAAATGACTAATTAATCTTCCAAACCGACTGGAATTGTTGTTTTTCCGATCAAATCAAAAAATGAAATGTCATAATAAAGCTATTTATAGTAGGCTAGTTGATAGGAGTGATTTTAGTGAGCTATATTGAGTTTTAGGAAGTTTGAGTTTTGATTTCACAAATGACTAATAAAACTTCCAGACCGACAGGTATTGTGGTTTGGTTGACCAAGTCAAATTAATTAATAGCATATATTAATAGCAGTTTAGTTGTTATTAGGAATTAGAGGTGAAATAGTTTCATTTAGAACATATCAATTTTTGCGTTTGAAAATTGGATAGGTTTGGTTTTGTGTTCTTTCTACCGACGATAAATGACTTTTCTTCTCATTGATATGGCTAAAAGTTCCTGACAGTGTCAGCAAAAAGATTATATACTACGTTTCAAACTACTCCATTTTTCTAGATTTTTTTTACTTTTTATTCGTGCGTTTTTGTCCAAAAAAATCAAAATAAACTATGTACGCCTTTTACTATTTTCCTAAGTACCCACTACTAAGCCTGCCTTTACCAATTTACCATTTAAATTAAGCTGGCTATTTGCCTTGCACATCAGATTTGAATTAAATCTGTAGAGTTCGTTGATATCCTTTTTATCGATTTTGAGAAACTATAATCTTACGTTTGTTTTTCTTTACAATATTCTTACCATGTATGCAATGTATTTTTCAGCATTCAGCAATGCAAAATCTCAATGGGTATATATAGAGTTTCAGTTGAAATGCATGTCGCGAGAGATTCCCCAGTCGAGTGAAATCTAGTAAACACCCCAAAAATCAAACACCCCAAAAATCAAACGCGTCAACACGTGACTCGACGCGACCTGGACCTAGGTGTCGCTATAAACTCTTAAATCTCGTATTGTTTTAGAAACTATGCCGCCCGTTTTTTTTTAATCCGAATTGTCTTATTCTCCAATGTCTTCTTCTAGTCTGTCCCGGTAATCTACAGGTAACGATTTCATTCACTCACTGTTACCTTCATATTGCAGGATTAGACTATTGAATTAGAAATGAATTATCTGATAACAACGAATGCGATACACATCTTTGCCTTGCTGCTCGGATTTGGACAAGTAACAGCGCGTAAGTGTAGTTTTTGGACACAAAATGGTCATATGTTTCGCTAAATCCTTCTTTTTGTTGTTAGTCTTCTTATTAATTTGAGTTGAGTCGCGCGAGACTAACTTCCTATCTTTTCTCTATTAATTGGATAGAATAGTCTTCTTTTTGTTTAAATTTTTTTTAATGGGAGGTAAGGGGGCTAATACCCTTAAAGTAGACGAATGATGAAATTCGAATGATCTCCTTCAAATTATTCAATTTAATTACAATACATATCATTTATGAAATATGGTGCAATACAATTTCCTTAAATGATGTATTCGTTCGGATTTTGTTGCATCTTTTATTTTTCGTGGCATACATTCACAAATTATAGGTTGGCCATCAACGTTTCATTTTTCAAAGATTGAATGGCTAGAATGCTATATTTTATTTTTTCAAGTTTTCGCGGGATCTAATTTTACGATATTCTCCCCAAAATTTGCTGTTTTATTTGAATAGATAGGAACACTTTTTATAACTTAAGGGAACACTTTATTCCTTCACGCTTGTCCGTCTATCTTCGTTTTAACAAACTCATGCTTGTCGATATATTTAAGAATCGCTCTCTTGTTTCACAGAATGGTCCACATGTACAAGGTCCTGCGGCGGAGGAACGCAAACAAAAAAGTCATGCACATTTTTTGGCGGGAAATTTTGCAGTACAATATCAAAAGGATGCAACGACTTCCCATGTGTGACAGGTATTATTTTAGGTTAAATGATGAGTGCGGCGGCTAAGAGGTATGTCCACATTTGACCACTACAGTCCGCCATTCTACAGCCGAGCTATTGAAAGATATAATACTATTGTGACATTACTGAAGACTCGGGTTAGTATATATGATTTATAGGAGTCTGAACCGCAGTCGTATTTTCACAATCCCTGGAGTCTGATTAAATTCCTACAAAAACAGACTCACTCATGCTGTAATGAATCGTGCTCTATATCGAGAAGTGAATAATTTTACGAAGCCTTCTTCTAATTAAAAAGTTTGAGATTAAAGAGATCAATATTTGTTGATGTATTTGTATATCTAAATCTTAGCGCGTCAGTAATTGTTTGCAACAAAAAACGTTTCTTCTTGGCAAAAATACCAAATATTAAATATAGCATTAGAAATTGGAGAAATTCCATGAATTAGTTTGGTATTCTAGTTTAAAATATTTTCAGATTAACAAGTTCTTCTGCCAGTACTCTATCCACTATGAATTTAGGTCTCGCGCGTTTGCTTTTTGACAAACTTGCATCAAAAATACAAAGTTTATAACTTGCCATTGAAATTTTGAGCTTTCCACATGTAATGCCTTGTTATTGACTTGGTGCGGTATTACGGTTTCAAAATACATCGATCCAAAATGAAACAATTTACTTAATTTTCAGGTTGGGGTATTTGGTCGCCATGTACCAAGACATGTGGCGGAGGACATCGCTTTAAAGTCGATCGTTGTGGTAACAGTGATATGTATAAATGCCCGAAGAATTATGAAGATTGCAATACACAGGCTTGTAAAGCAAGTAAGAATCAGTAATGGTACTTTAGCATGATCCACTGCTATATCTTACTAACCCATGTGTTGGTGCTAAAATATATAGGAATATGTAGTATTAAAGGGATGTAAAATGCAGCAGTAAACCTGACGGTATGTGTGTTTTTGGCAAGGTTTCCAATGGTTTTTGACGGTTTTTCACTGTTTTTGCAAAGGAGGTCCGGATTCAATTTGCTCGTCAGAGTGGATATTTTGAAATGAATTTAAAACGTTTGCGTTTGAATGAATTTAAAACGTTTAAAAGAAGATTTCGAAATTTTTTTTTCAGTTATACTCGCACTCGAACAAACTTTTTAAGAATTTATATTTTATACCTGTTTGTTTTTAGTCAAATGCCCACGCGGGCAGGTTTATAGATATGGCGAGCTTTCTTCTTGTTGCAAACCAAGCAACGAACAATGCGGAGTTCCAAAAAGAGTCTCTAGAAGAGTTTTCAGTGGAGAGCCGTCGAAACTAGGACAATGGCCATGGGCGGTAAGAAATAATATAATATGTTCGGACTCTTTACTGAATCAGAGTTAAATTCCGTATATTTTGGGTTGTGCTGGTCAAATTGAAAATGCAGGATCATGCTATGTGGTGTTCTTGTCTACAACCTCATTACTTAACATATATGGTTACATCGTCAAAGTTTGTCGTCTAAAATTTATATTGCCGTAACAAGTCTGCTACTTTTTCAATGTGCTTATCTGACTTCATACAAAGCTAACATTATTTTTAAAAAAACTGTTGTTAGGCCTGAATAAAATCTGTCTTCATTCGGCCTAGTAAAATCTGACTGTAATTGGGCCAAGTTAAATCTGACTGCATTTGATCTTAGTAAAATATGACTGTAATTGGCACAAGTGAATTCTGACTGCATTTGGCGCTAGTAAAACCTGGCCGCATTTGGCCCAGGTAAAATATGACTGTAATTGGCACAAGTGAATTCTGACTGCATTTGGCCCTAGTAAAACCTGGCCGCATTTGGCCCAGGTAAAATATGACTGTAATTGGCACAAGTAAAATCTGGCTGTATTTGACTCAAGTAAAATCTGGTTGTATTTAGTCCAGAGAATTCCTGGCCTGGAGGGAAATAACACTTTGTTACTTTTATCAAAAGGTTGTCATAGTAAACAGGAAAAAACGCATCACACATTGCTCTGGAAATCTTATCCACCCGAAGTGGGTTCTATCAGCAGCGCATTGCATGGTGTAAGTACTTTTTGTATATACTGTATATATAAACGCATAAGCTTTCCTGAATTAGATTTTTCTTTCTTGGGCGAATTTTTTTATAAAATGTTTGTTCACGCCTTCAGCTTCAATAATATCCTGTACAGGCGTCCATTAAATGTAAAGCGATAGTATACTTTTCCTGAACGACCCAAATTTATTTATCCGCTTTTGACATTGCCTACTCAATTAATTCCATCTTTGTATGACGTCACAGACGTGTTGGACATGGGATTTGAAACACATATGTGTAGCCTGCAATTCAAATATATTTAAGTCTGACGATTTATTTGGCCTCAAAAGTAAAATTCTCCCTGCAACTCCAATCTTTAATTACTAAAAAACTTGAAATTGATGAGAAGATAACTCGAGGAGTAGAGCTTTTTTTTCAAACAACCTTAAAATTGACAACAAGAACAACTTAGTAAAACGATCCATAGGACCACTTGGTTTCAAATGATACTATGGGCGTATATGTGTGAAACCTGCGATTTGAATATCTTCAAGTCTAACGATTTATCTGACCGCGAAAAGGAAAACCTCCTTACAACTTCAAGTATCTTTATTTACTAAAAATTTCAAACTGATGAACAGAACTTTTTTTCTCAATAAAATGGACGACAACACCAACTTGCCAAAACGATCCATAGGTCCACTAACGTGTCCAATAAAACCATTAGCGTACATATGTATAATCTGCGATTCAAATATCTTTAAGACTAACGATTTATCTGACCGCAAAAGTGAAATCCTCTTTACAACTTCAACCATCTTTAACTACTAAAACTGATTAAAAAAGCTTTTTTTTTCAACAAAATGGACGACAACATCAACTTTGAAAAATGATCCATAGGACCACTTTGTGTTCAATGAGACTACCGAATTACTGTTTTCAGGTGTTGAGTAGAAGTCACTAAACCTCTGGTTGTGAGTCAAGTCGAGTCACGCTAATCTATTGTCGAGTCGATCACAGAGCTAGGTCTCACTGGGGTTATTGATGACGAGTCCGTGACATCCCATTCAGATGTCTTGGGGTCACTCCGAGTTTTTGATAACTTAGACTCTAAGTTGTTCCAAGTTTGTCAGCTCTGAGGGGTCACAAAATTATATTTGCATTGTTCACGGGCAATAATAGTGCCAAGAATAGGTAAACAGTGCAATACAAAACAAACACTTTCATTTTGCAAACACATTGATCATTTTTTGTCATTTATCAAGCTAAAACATGCAGAAACCACAAAAAAACTTTCCAAAACCTGTCTTCCACCTGCAACATGTGGCCCGCGGGCCTGTGTTTAAAACACCCTGACTTAGAGTCCTCAACAAATAGTGACGTGGCTCTAACTCGGCTCGGCGGTCTGGCGCCGTGGGCTCGCGATTCGAATTCTCTGGGGAATAATTATGTGTGAGCGGATTGCTGGACACCTCGATGCCATAGAGTGGTTCACGCAACCGCTGGTCGGATACAGATTTCTCCATCATGAAGTCCATGCACCTGAAAACAAGTAACTGACTAACTACTCCCATACCCTACAATGGACTGATAACCATACAAGAGGCCGTGGTTTGCTATATGGTTAAGTCGTCTTATTCGGCTTTTCTCTCCCCGGGACAAATATATGTAAATCCTGTTCTAACTCTAGTCGAATCAATGACTTGAGATCTTCAACACAAAATGCAAAATTATTTTTCATTTCTTGTATCAGAGGATACTCGGAGTCTGATGTCTACGCTATACTCGGAACCAGAACAATTAAAAAGCCAGACATAGGATCTCAAACGACAGATATATTGAAATTCCATCCACACAAAGAATACACGGATGATAACCCTACATACGATATCGGATTACTAGAGGTAGGAATATTTGAATGAAATTATCTGTATTTCACCATCAAGCATCACATATATATATATAACGAGTTACGTGTTATACATAAATACGATAGAGCGATGCTTAATATATAGACACGATGTCCAAAACTCCGTAGTATGGGTATGCAATCTGTCGCAGTAGACTACCGGTACCAGCTGTCAAGGTGTCATAAAAAAGTGTTCCCATAATTAAAAATTATACAGCGCATTTAGGATAAAATATCAGATAAAAATTTAAGAACAAATGAAAGTATTAGCCTTCTAGTAAAACAATCCTTTCACTTTGACGTTGCCTACTCAACTTATTACACCCTGTGTGGGTGATGAGTATGGGATTTTTCAACTTGTGCAACGCTTTCACCTCAAGACCAGGGATGTACAATGCGTTGCAAAGCCTATACGTTAGCTTGTGCAAATCGAACGCATGTCATAGGATTCATGACCCAACTTTTTTGCACTAGAAAGCCTATGTTAAATGAAGGTGCGGCTTGCGATTTCACCCAGTTATTCGTATCTAGCTTTCCTGTATTGGAGGTTGCTCCGTAAACACCGAAACTTTTCATTAAAGTTGCAATTAACATTTTCAGATAAAGAAAACAGCAGTCATCAACTCAAATGTGAAACCAGTTTGCCTTCCAAGCGGAGATAGGCCGTCAATTGATCAATCCTGTGTCGCAGCTGGGTGGGGAATTGGTAGGTTGGTCTTATCCGGTAGTTCTCAACCTTTTTTCAAGCGACCCATTTTTTTTTTAAATAAGTTATATAATTCTCGCGACCCAATTCTCGAAAATTTAACGTCATCTAGTACTTTTAAATTTAATTACTGATATAGAACAATTATTTTGACATTAGTTAATCCAGAAATTTCCTCTAAAGTTGGAAAGCTGTGTATGTTTGCTACAAGCTAGTTTTTGAAATAGCAGTTATTTAGGTAATATATGTGCTGCTGAGTTTTGTACAGTGATTCTTCCCACATATACAATTAATATTACACAACACTTTAATACCAAATATAAAATAAACAATAAAAGTTACTAGGAAATAAACTCTTAGGTTTTTGTCGAAAAAAGTGAGAGACCGAAGTAAAATATCAGAAGACCCAGTTTTGGGTCGCGACCCATAGGTTTGAAAACACTGGTCTAATCTAGGGGTTCTCCAACTGGGGCTGGGCATCTGGTTAAGAACTTAAGACTGGAATATTTTTTTTTTGAATCGAATCTCCAATAATCGGAAGATATGTACTGTTTTATTGTAATGGGTCCGCGAGACACATACATTAGTGAAAACACGTAATCTATCAGTCTGACATTTCGCTGAGCGTTCACACACAGTAAGAAACATGTTTTATCAATAACTCACTCGGAATAAGTGAGTCATATGTCAGATTTGCATTATAAAATTTGATATTAATAATAAAAAGAGGGATTCACCTAGACCTTTGGCGTTCAATAAAAAAATGGCGGCTATTCGAAATTCCCGTCGGAACCAATTTGAACAATTTACTATTCGATTCGAATTAAAATGCCTGGTACTCCCGAAGTATGTGAACCAAGATGGCGGACACCGGAACGTAGTATGTGTAACGGGTTAGGGTTGCGCAATGAGTTTATTCCAAGTTTTCTTATTTCAGTTCTATTAAGAGTTCAGAGACTAGCCAAGTGTACCTGGAATTATGGCCTAACCCGATACACATACTATATTCCGGTGCCCGCCATCTAGGTTCACATACTTCGGGAGTACCAAATGTCTAGCCCTAGCTATGGCTTTCTCTAGATATCATTCGCCACGAGTGCTAAAAGCCTCCGAAAGGGGGTTACCAGCCATAAAAAGTTGGGAACCACTCTCATGGGAATTTGAAGTGTTTCAGTCAAAACAGAATTCCCCAAAGGGATAAATGTGCCAGGATGAGAACCCTTGCTCTATGGTGTACATTGGAGAGGAAGTGGTGGTATTGTATAATATATAATGGCTATTTAGGGGAACTAAAACAAAATTTACTCATCAATTTAAGTTTGTTTGATACATGTCTTTTAATATCGTTACAGCGGACGCACAAGGACTTATAACAGATACTCCATCTGATTATCTAATTCACGTTGGACTTCGCATTTTGCCTATAGATGCCTGCAAATCTGCTTTGGCAAGATATTACGAGACGCAGTAAGTTATTCTGTCCTAATTAAATATCGGGATTTTTTAGCAAAGTTGTTGTCGAAAATATCGCTTTCATGCGACTAAAGGTCTAATCAGTGGTTCTCAAACTTTTTGTACCCTCTTTTAGAATTTGTTTAGTTTTGCGCTTCACCTTAAAAATAGTTAGTTGACAATAATCTACAAATAACGAAAGTATGTTTTATTCAAAAAACACGTTGAAATGAAAATACGTGCACATGATAAACAAATATTAACAAAAAAATTTGAATATTAAATATATATTCGAATCTAACAAATATTTTTCAATTTTCAATCTTTTTTAACATCAATTAAATATCGCCACGCATCCTCATTAATCAATTCCAAATTCTCATTTATTAAAAAAGTAAACCATTACAAAACTTTATTTTTAAAATATCACCCTCTTGAACTACTTCATTCCGCCATGCTTGTCCGATGAATATTAATGCAAACGTGGTGCTTAACTAAGGCCTCATCGGTACCAAAGAATTCAGCGTCTCTTGTTTATACATATTTTCGGGAAACATTTTGTCATATTTTCGGAAAAAATTTGTTCAGCTCTGATTGACTTGACAAAAGCTTGACTCCAACTCCAGCTACAGATTAATGAATAAAACGGAAAACTTTTCTGTCCTTAAAACAGTAGACAACGATTTAGTAAAACAACCTTAGGCACACGTAGTGTTTAATCGTTTTGTCTATTATTTTTAGATACATCACAGAGAAACATAATCTATGTGCTGGTCGTTATGAAGGCGACAAAGATACGTGCAGGGTAAGGTTATATAATGATAAGGTGTCGCTGACGTTGACGCATCGGGTCTTTCGCGACCACTCATCAATTGCTAGATACAAAAGTTTTCGTTTTTATTTTTATGTGTGTTTATTGTTTTACATTGATCCTTGTACGATGAAAATAAATATCTGAATCGGATAAAATATATCAGTCAAACAAACTCAAACCAAGCAAATAAAGAAGTCAGTACTCCCGAAGTATTCGTATTGAAATGGCGCACAACCTGAACATAGTATTTGTACATGGTTGGGGTTGTCAGGTTGTGCGTCATCTTAATACGAATACTTCCGGACCGCCAAAAATTCTTGTTTGATTTTCAGGGCGACAGCGGAGGACCCGTTATATGTCAGCGATGCCAGACCTGTGGGTGGTATTTGGCGGGAACAACAGTTTACGGAGCGAGATATTGCGGTCTTGAAAACAAGCCTGCGATTTACATGAATATAAGAAATTTTCAATATTGGATAGAACAAAAAGTTCCTATCAAGTCAAGTGGTTTCTTTGTTTGTTAATTGAAATCTTTTTATTTATTTTTTGTTGGTTTGTGTGCAATTTTGATTATAGAAACAAGTTTTGTGAAAAGAACAGAATGAATTTTAATTATTATCGTGACCAGACAGTTTTTATTCGGTACACCCGACGTATCGAAGTATGTGTACCAGCACCAGGTTAGGTTTAGACCATACTTTGATTCCGATTTTCCCTATTTTAGTTCTATTACAAGTTCAAGGACTGTCTGTGTTAATCAAGTGAATAAAGATCCTCTTGCCCATAGATTTCAGTTCCTCTACACAGCTTGATGTAAAATGGGCGAACAAAATTAGTTATCTCCATATTGGTACACATACTCCTGGAGCGCCTTTTATTCATATGTGTACATGTTTCTAGTATTGCCAATTATATCAATTTCAACTATTCAATTCACCCTGATTACCATGAGCTAACGCCGAAGAACCTAATATTAATATTTTTCTTAAATTTGCTTGGTTATAACACTGCCTTCAGGCGGGAAAACGCAATGGAAAATATGGTGAATAATTCCTATTTATATATCTGACTGTTAAAAATAAACCACAATTTTACTATATATTTTGATTGTACGCCATTTTGTTTATAGCAACAAGTTTTGTGAAATCTGTTTTTGCACAGATTGAGAAGTGTATTATGTTATTGTGATAAAAAATATTGGTAAAAAATTCTTTACCAGTTGGGAAACGTTGATGTATTAGATTTATGTAAGTGTACCATGTAAATGTAGCTTACGTAGTACCATACATACATTTCTTGAAATTAGGGAACGCCTTGTTAGTGAGCTTCACACAGAAGAGAACCCGTTCCTAATATAATCAATCCTACCATGGAACACGACCCATTGAGCGCAGCGTTAAAAAAGTTTAACCTCGTCATACCGGAAATTTTATTGACCAATTTCTATATTGCAGGTCCAACCTGTCGAGGAGTTATTTAACGAAATGTAGCTTACGTTGTAACATACATACATTTTTTTAAATAGGGGAACCCGTTGTTAGTGAGTTCGGGACAAAATAGATCCTTCTCCTAAAAAAATGAATCCGACTACTGGATATGACCCCAAAAGAGGTATTAATGAAAATTAATTACATAGTAACATACATATACTTTTTAAGGTACTCCCGTAGTATGTGAACCAAGATGGCGAACACCGGAACGTAGTATGTGTACCAGTTTCATAATTTTAGGTACAAATACTACGGAAGTCACTTGGCTAGTCCCCGAACTCGTAATAGAACTAAAATAGAGAAAATTGACCTAACCCTAACCTGGTACACATACTACGTTCCGATATGCGCCATATTGGTTCACACACTACGAGAGTACCCTTTTCAAAAAAGAGAGAAATCGTTGTTACTGAGCTCAGTACAAGAGAACCCGTTCCTAAAATTGTGAACCTCACCATTGTCTATATATGATCACGCTTAAGTTAAATGCGGCGTTAAATAAAGTTTAACCTCAACGACGAGTCATACGGGAAATTTTAATGAGTGATTTCTAAATTTTACCGCATGTTCAACTCATCGAGAAGTTTTTATGACTAATCAGCCATAGAATAAATGCCTTAGGCAGTTTTCGCGCATTTGTCAATCATCGCGGATACTTCAGTTCAAAAAAGTGGTAAATATAAGTCGCTTTTCCAGAATGTAAGATTAACGGAACGGACTATAAATTTAATCTGCCGTGGAATATGTATATTATATAAAAAAAAAATGATTTGAAAAAGTGGTTCTTAACCAATACCATCTTTTGTGGTTTTTGTTCCAGCAACTAACTAGTCCCTCAACTATACATACTCAAACTGTACCTTTGAGTTAAACATGGCGTGAATGTTTGAGAACGACAATATATATGACTAAGGCTTAAAAACATTCCCATCTTCATCAACTACTGAAAATTTAAGAACATTTTAGAGTTCCTTTTGTTTAATACTGCACCCTTTAAGGCTGTTGATTGGTGAATATGAATCGAGAAGGCAATCAGCCAAGTCTGACGCCAAGTAGTTTTATTTTCGCCAAGTAGCAGAAAACCAAGGGGTCTTTCATAATTAACATGCGACAGCGTGTTTTCAAATTAAGTTGATAACCAAGCAAGCTTACATAATATGTTAACGTCGTAAAATTTGGCAACAAAATAAAATCCTTAAAAATATTACCACAGTCATTAACGACTGAAAAAAATCCCAGTACACTACATAAAGCAGTCATAAATAATACCAACACCGCTCCAGCGGCAGGTATTCGGGTACAAGTGTACTTATACTTATACAAACAAGTTGAAGTGAATAGAATGAATGAATAAGCTATTTAAAATGCAGGACATTCACATGACAATGTAACAAACTTACAACGTAAAAGCGTCATACGACAGAAAGAGAGAAGTAACGTATACGCATCGAGAGAGAATGTAAGATATACACGTATTACGTGTACAAAAAATATGCAGAAGTGTACAAAATAATTACCTGATCGATTGGATCATACAGCTGTAAACGGGAGGAGTTAAATTACTCTATAGAGCACATATAGTCGTTACTTTTACAACATTTTCATTTTAAAGTTAACACACATCAATACGCGAATAAAATTGCTGTAAACCATACACAGGACTGGATGTTGAGCAAATTTGAATTTATCAGCATCCAGCTCCGTGTTCATAGGCCACCCTACAGCAATTTTTAAAAAATACGATAACTCGAATTGTACAACAGTAACAACCATAAAGCAAAATCATCAGTGTTGCATCCTGGCTAACAAATGGGAAACCGGACATAATCAAAATACATAAAATTACATTTTTTCGATAATTTAAAAAATTTCATTAAAACTCGCTTTAATACATATTGAGCATAAGCTAATAATAGTATTTGTATTTGCACTCCCCATCAATTTTTACACAGTTGAGAATGTACGCAAGATGAAGTACTACCACGGTCAAGGACTCAAGACGTGGGGCAAAATATTTTATTACCAAGTTTAATTTGTAGTCAGTGTTACTAGTCCATGTACTGAATAGTAGTAGCCTGAAGCGGAGTATCACAATTAGTTTCGGGGAGGACTGATGCAAGTATGCACACAGATTAGTGTTTTTCTAAGTATCAAGATTAGTTTCTGAGCTTGAATCAGTTTTTGGAGTTTTGTTTCTCAGAGTGTTGGGGCTGGACGGTGTTAATAGTCTGATCAGTGTTTTAGGATTTATATTTCCTCGAGTTTGAGTTCAGTTGAGATCAAAATGTAAAGATGTAGTGAAGAACCGCTTTTAGATTGTTCCAGTAACTTCGATGCGTTATTCTTCAAACATTCTTTAACGTGTACCAAATTCAAGTTGCATCAAGCTTGTTAAATACTGTTCTTGTCGTCACTTCGATGCCTTGCAAAAAAACGATCTGTATAAGAAAAAAGATATTTTATACTTCTGAGTGTTATCAAAGATAAGTCAATTAATATTACGCAATATATAACAAAATACACTATACAAAGTCCATTGTCCTGTGCTATTTCCTTTCCGTTGAGTTTCAAAATACAATGTAAGACGTAGAATGGTCAGGAAAACATTTGCCCGTTTACTGGTTATATTTCTATTAAGCCTAAAAAAACTATAATTTTAGTCTCTTAAAAAAGGTCGGGGAATCACTGCAATAATTAGGCAGAAACACCTTTGATTTCAGACAAATTCCCACAGGCCCCCTTGACATATTAACTTTGTTTCAAACTAGACAAAAAATAAAAACTTGTTCCTGATATAGACATTGCCAAATGATAGTTTGTAGATTCAATGTCGACCAGTTCCAAAACGCTTCTGCCATTACTCAAAAATTGAGAAGAACAAGTCACTTTCTAACAAACCATACCGAATGCTTTTTGTCTGTTCAGAAACTCAAGTACTCTAATCGCAAAAATATACGACTTAAAAAAGGTCCAATTTAATTCATATATGCTTTGATATATTTTCTTGATAACTATTGGCATAATAGCTTTGTGTTCCAAACTAAACAAGATAAAAATTAAATATTGTACCTGCTACAGACTTTGCCTAGTTTTTAGATTTGAAGTCTACTCAGTTTTAAAACGCTTCTGCCATCCCTCTAAAATTACAGATGCGTCAATTAGTTTCCAACAAACAGTGCCGAATGCTTTTATTCACTCAGATACTATAGTAGACTACTCTAATCACGGGAATATACGATTTAAAAAAGTTCCAATTTACTCCATATGCGCCATGGGTATGTTGTCTTAAGTGATATTAAATATTTGCTTACCTATGTGTTTCTATGAAGTAGTGTGTTTGATGAATACTTCATATCCGGTTATTGTGATTGAATTCACTTGTCCAATGATGTTAATGATCAATTCTCCAGCACAAATCTATACCAAGCAAAATGATAGAAATAATTCACTCAATTCGAAGTATGAAGACAAAATAATTAGTTTCTTGTTAGAGCTACAGATACGACACGTAAAATTAAACTTATTTTTTAGATTACCTTAAACACCATGCTGCGCTAGAATCGTCTGCAGAAAGGTCAATATTAGTATTAAACCACTTTATTAGCGACCGCGATATACAGAAACAGTCCGCACTCCCCAAAGAATCACCAGTTCAGGTTTATATTTCCGTCATCATTACCATTTCTGATTTGTCATCCACCATCCACAATTGGTCCAGTTAACCAAAGGTTCAATTAAAAAAGTTTCACCAGACTTCTAGCAGTGCTACTTGAGCTTCACCAACATATATTTATTTCAACGCAGTTGAAGTGTCTACTCGAAAGATTGCAAATTAATCAACTGTTCCATTATCCACACTTCATCCCAAATCAGTGCTCTTCAACAGAGGTTCGGCAACACATGTAGTGGGGTTCCGCGTAAAGGAAAATTGACTGCTGGGCCAGTGACGTTGCAAAAAATGAATATTCTTCTTTTTCGTTTTTGGATGAATTGAATGAAAGTGAACAGCAGCAAGAAGGACTCCTTCGAAAAACATGGGACGGATTATTATTGGATTTCTCTTCACAAAGAGGGTACAGCAATTGCAAAAAAAAACATTAAAACCCTATGTGCCAATTCCTATTTGTGTAAATCAGCATTTTCTGCTTTAACAACTATTGAAAAT